AACTTTTGGATATTCATAGCTCAATGACAATGACGCACAAACATAGAAGATAGAATGAGTCAATTCAAGTTAGATATAAGCCTTAAATTCATCAAAATTCAAAAGAAAAAATATGAAAACTACATTTTCATGTAGTCAGGGTTAATAGGTTTGCTGACTACTTCAAAATAGAAAAGACAGAGACGAGATCAAAACCATGACAGAGAAAAATGCTTAGAGTTCATTTATAACTCCTCAGTGCATATCAAGTGCATCTGTATAGTTTTCGCAGGAAACATTTTGTACGACAGAAGACTTCCTTGTCCAGGTCCAATCACACAAAGAAACAAGAGAACTTAGTACACGTACTACCTTTTCGACCGTGAACGTGAAGGAGACCTAGATCTTGATCTGTGCTCAGATCTACTCCTAGAGTGAGATCCAGATCTGCGTCTGTGCTTGTCCTCCCTATCTCTTTCGTAATCCCTTCGCCTACAAACAATAGTAAAATCATGAATCAGAAAATACCTAAACACATTGCCTGTGGCCACCTTAACACACTGGCTGTAGAATAACCCTGGAATGAAATAGTTAAATGAAAGTTGAATAAAGGCAGATGACTATCAGAAAAAGCCTCTACTGCAAAACATTTTCTGCTGAACATGAATAGATTAACCATGACATAATCTTAGTTTTCTATACTAAGGAGATACTGCCGCTATGAACAGAAAACCCTCTATATCTATGTGCAATTTTCACACCTTTCGGAATCTCGGCTTTTGTAGTAGTCGTCATCTTCATCCCTGTCTCTGGTCCTCTCCTTTCTCTCACTTCGGTCCCTATGCCTGTCCCGGTGATGACGATCACGGTCCTTGTCTCTATCTCTTTCCCTATCTTTATCCTTATCCCTCTCCCTTTCCCTGTCTCTGTCCCTCTCTCTTTCATGTCCACGTTCCTTATCCTTTGCCCTGTCCCTGTCTTTATCACGACCTCTTTCCCTGTCCCTGCTTTTGCTGGACTCCCGATCCCTTTCTTTCACATGGTCTGGAGATTCATGCTGAAAAGGTGTAGTATTACTAAGTGTCAAGAATAAATAAAAACTACGCGAAAAACATCAGTTGACAAAAAAAGCCAACATAACTTTCACATAGCTTATTCAACTGAGAATTACAAAATCAAATAAAGCAGGACAAACAACGATTACAAATCGCTAGATAATCCAAATTCTAAGATCGTCACCTTCTTAATGGTCTCTAAAACATAGATCAGATTCTGTTTCGTGTTTCATTTTAGCTCATTCTTTATAATGGTTAAAAAAGATTAAACCTTTCTGGCTATCTCCAGCATTTTATCAAAAAATAAGTATCCAATCAGACCCATCTCAACAACATATAAAACAGTACACAATGAACAAAGCTGCAAACCTTGGAGCCTTCACTTGGTGACCCTCTGTGAGCTTGTTGCTGCACATCTGCTGCTTCAGGTGAGTCCATTGTAAATGGAGAAACCGGTTTCTCGTCAATTCGCGGATTAACAACTGATCAAGAGTGATGAAACTACGAATAAGATTTAAATAATTAGAAATTTCAACACAATCTGAATCATCAATTTCGCTATGCATATTCGAGCCAGATTCTAATTCTAACAGTTCAATCCTCTGCGAGTGGATTATATAAAACTGCTGAATTATGATGATAAAAAAATTCATGAGTTAAGGTATCAAACTCACCAGTGACCATGAACAACTTCGTGCGGCTAGGGCTCAAGTTCTCGTCGGGAACGAGGAAGAAGAGCAATGATACTTTGTAGATGTCGAACTTAAACGAGTCGGGTTGGATGTTGGTTTTGACAAACTCAAACCCGACCCGTACACATTTTACGTTTTATCCCAAGCTAAACTCGTTATCAATTTATTTACCTTAGTATTTGGATAAGGTGAAAATATGGCTAACCTAGACATGGCCAAATTCCGGGCTCGAAAACAATGATCTGGACATCGCACGAACCTATACTCGTGTCGGGTCAATGTCCCGGTTGACCGGCTGAAGTCGTGTCCGTGTTGCGCCCGTCATTTTTTCAAAAAAACAATAGAAAAAAAAAATAGAATAAGCGGCCCATCGGCCAGGGCCGGGTCATGAAAGTGGATGATCCTGAAACGGCTCGTCGGAAATCCAGTCCGGTCCTGGACCCGTGGTCACGGGTTTGACCATGCCGGGTCCGGGTTGGGCGGCCCTTGGCCATGCCTAGGCTAACCTGAATTCATTAACTCGATTTTACCGTGTCAGAATCGAATCCTATCCAACTCGATCCGTTGTTTAAAAAAAAAATCTATTACACAATTAGTTATAATAAATTTGAAAATTTTGTTGATAAGATTTGAAAACAAATAATTCTAAGAGATACTATATAATTTTATTTTTATTTTTTGGATTAAAAAACTGCATACAACTAATTAAAAGAGGAAGATAACAAAATAGGAAGAGAATCTTTCCAATAATAAGGAAAAAGGGAATAGATTGCCCAAGAAGCTATATTATGGGTCACCACGTTATCCTTTCGAGGAACATGGCAACAAGAGCTGCAGTCTAAAGCCTATAAAAGGTTTTTAATATCCGTAAACACCTCAAAGAAAGGATCCAAATCCTCCGAGTTCGCAATGCCGCCAACGACTTCTAAGGAGTCTGTCAACACCGCCTTCACCTTAAAGCCTGAGTCCATAGCAAAGCGGAGACCATGCCGGAGTACTAGTGCTTCTGCTAGTAAAGGAGAAAATGAGCCCTAGATGCAAGTAGCGCAGGCTGCCTGACAAACGTCATCTTTATTGCGAAACCAACCACCCAAACCAATTTTGGACTCACGAACCGCTACGTCGCTAAGAAGAGTCCAACCATCAGCACACGAACCTCCACGTTGCCAACTCGGAATCAAATCCCGACAGGACAAATTTCAATTACCCATTCGCCCTAATTGAGCATTATCGAATTCTTTTAACCAAGATATCCCAAAATCTCAAACCTGATCCAGACTTCTAGCCTTGAAATTTTTATGCAGACGATTACACTCCTGCCAAATAAGCCCCAGGGTAACGATAAAATTCCTAAAATCAGCACCACAATCCTCATTAAGAATAGCCAAAGCTATAGAGATAAAAATCCCGTCTCCGGAGACTAGAGATAACATTCCACCATCCAACGTGTTTCCATAACTTCTATGTCCAATCACATTCGAAGAAAAGATGAATATTCGTTTCCAACAACCACACCGCAAACGTTGTGCCATACAAATTTTGATAGTAAAATATATACAATTATTTAGAAAAAGAAGTTTTGTACCAAAAAAAAAAAAAAAATATGTAATCATAGAAGTAAAGTATACGATAAATCCAACACGAGTAGGTTCTGTTCAAAGTTTGCTAATATATTTTATATATTTTAATATTTCTCAATTCATAGTTTGTATAAAATAAGTATTTTTAATCATATTGGTTTAATTATTTTAAATCTTTTAAAATTGTTATTTTAAGTATTTTATATCAAGGTAGTATACTAATTAACAATGGTTATACGTTGCATTTTGCACGAACAATAGGCTAATAATGTTAATTTGAAATATCCTCCTTATATATAATTCCCGAATGCGCTAAGCCTACGTGACTACTTCTGGTGCTTCGGAATCCTACTTGACAAAGAATCATGCTTCGTAATTAGGTTTGGACAAATAAATTGATATATTAATAATTAATAATCTAGGTTTGGACATTCCATAAATATTATTTAGCTAACTTAGGTATTTTAATATCACTTGTACTAATATAAACCTTTAATTCCTTGTAATTTTACATAGTGAGACACTAAGACTACGTTTGGTAAACCAATAAGCTAGCTTATAGCTTATTTGATTAGTTTATAAGTTCCCTGTATTTAAGTAAGTTCTGTTTGGTAGGACGAGCTTATTTAAAAAGCTCGAGCTTATTTGATAAGCTTGTTTAGGTAGCTTTTCAAATAAGCTAGTTAAATTTTTTATTTCAGCTAGGTTATCTGCTAATTTTACCAAACACTTTTATCATATAAGCTAGCTTTTCAGGCTTTCAGCTATAAGTCATAAGCTACAAGCTATAAGCTCGAAAATTACTAATAAGCTATAAGCTAGCTTATCAGCTATCAGCTAGCTTATCAGCTAGTTTTATCAAACATAGTCTAAGTGACTAATATATCCCTGACTTTTGATTTGTTTCATTCAATTAGCTATTGAATTGTAAATGTATTTTAAAAGTTGATAACTTTGTATTTCTTATCGGTTTTACATATATAATATATCAAATTAATCATCTTTTGATGATTCTCGATTTGACATCCATATTGTATATATTGAAATAAATAAATTATATTTATATTTATAATAATAAAAAATAATTATATTTATTAAAATTCATTAGAAAATAAAATTATTTCTCAATTGATATATTTATGTTTAATGTAGTTATATGTTGTAAGTTAAAAAAATTATTATAATATAACACAGGTAAGTCGCACAAATAAAAAATGTCATACTAAATATATAATAATATATATTTTTATAAAAGGTATTTAAATTTTTAACTATTTTTCTCATTAATTTTAGATTTTAAGAAATAAAATTAGCAAGCACCCGTGTAATACACGGGAGTTGTACTAGTTCACAAGAAATCTAAATATATAGAATACACATTATATAAATGCAATAAAAGGTGGTAATAAATGCAATAAAGAAATTAATTAACCATTAATAAAAAATATAATACATTGGCGTGAACTAAAACACTTCACACTATTCTAATAATTACCATTTCATATGATTCTTGCTACCAAATCAGCCTTACTATTTATGAACCTGCAATTCATATTTACTTCTGAGTTCATTCATCACAGTAAAATCATCAAATAAATTCACTAAGCACTTCAATATATGACTTTAGAGGCAATGCGATCGTCGGTTATTGATTGATCAAATATCGTTCCCAAAAAACTCCGCTCTTTGTAAGATCATCGTATGTCCAAGCTTCTGTAAAGCGTAAAAAGGTTCAGTGTGAGCTTCTGCATAATCGATACAAATCTAAACATAAAAAAATACGCGACGAGATATTATATGCGTACGTATAAATATTCGTTCGTCTCAAAATGTCATACCTTGACATGTCGGCCCGATATTTAGCTTCATGAAACTTTATATCATCTCCACAATGCTTAGGCTTTGCATTACATCTCTGCATTTATTTTTTTCAAACTCTAAATGCATAACAAAAAAGAAAAAAATCGGATCATAATCGTTCAAGCTGCAACCTAAAGTTTCTGACATTATACTATTTTCCTACCCAGAAATCAGCTTGGAAAGAATTATCACAATCACCCTTCTTTTGATCCTATAAAAATGCACGAGACCGTAACTCATCATCATAAACCCGGTTATTATTTAGTGTAAAATAACGAACAAGAGGTAAATTTAAACAACTCGCAAAACTTGCCTTTGCTGACAAGCGCTGATATGCCGGCCCCAAAGAGAGCTGAGAATGAATGATAACAATTTACTTATACAATTGGCTTTTTAAAGCTCATATATATAATTAAACTCTGTGTAGTGAGACTTTTACCTTAGAAAACTGCTCTGTGGGTGGATTTTCGGAGAATTTAGAAGCATGGTGATTGGCTCTCTCCATTGTCTTCAAGTGAAACACCTGATTTTTTTTAACATTCGAATACGAAAAAGAAAAAAAAAATATTTTTCCATAATGAATTAACGTGCGAACTTTGTATCCATTTTTTGAGAAATTTCTGCTAAAGAAAAACGCTTACTTGAAACTCCGGCAATGTTGGCTGGCTCTTTTTCCGTTGTTGAGACAAACGAGGCTCCAGAATCTAATAAAAAGTACACAAAACGAACATTTTCGAAAAATAAATGTTCATGGCTAATTAACAAATATTATCGACAAAAAATCCACATAAATACAGACCTTTTTATTCAGTGGATGTGCTTTGAAGCTGCCAAAACTTTGTTTCTTGATTTCAGTTTCACTACATGCAGAACTATTTTTGGACCTGAAAAACTTAAGACTATACTGTAAGTTTGTCAACAAATAAATGCTTAAAAAGAAAAAATCTTGATTTTAATCAAGATGATCGAGGCAGGGGAATGAATAAGTAAACCTTCGCCGTTGTGCTCTGAGCATCGTTTCCAGCTCAGGTTCCTTCGGAACAGTAACCTTTAATTAAAAAAAACAAACATGAAAAAAAAATAGCTTGGAAAATAAATATCGGTTAATCTAATAGTTTTTGGAATTTGGCAAAATGAATTAAAATAAATAAATAAATAAAAATACCCCCTTAGTTGATTTATGCATCAACAAGAATTGATGCTTCAGTTGTGCAGCCTGCACCGAATAATAATATTTTTTAGAGAAATACTTATTATGTAACAGAAAAAAAGATTCAACTTTGTCTGTTTACTATCCTTCCAATGAAATGCCATAACATTTTAGTGAAAGTCTTTCGAGTTGATAGAAATTCGCACATTTTTCGGTTATTAGTCGAAATTCGTTCATGTGTATTTGTACCTTTCTTAAGTAGCCAACACTAAGCTTTTGTCTTTTTGTCGCAACATCAGATCCAGTGGGACTCTGAGAGCCTTTCAGACTGAGGCTGGCTGATAATTTTTGGAACCTGATAAACATTAAAAATTGTTAAATACACCTAAAAGGAGCAAAATAGCAAAATATGTAAACAGCATTTTATTTTATTTTTATAAACTTCAAACTGATTAGTAACAAACAGGTAAAATGTATGATTCGAACAAGATTCTCAGACAAAAATCGAAACTTTAATAAAGGCTACTACACCTTGTACAAACGTGTGCAGAATTCGTATGATTTGTTTTTAATTTCGCCAAGTGACTAGCCGTAGGTTCCATAAAGGATGGAGTAAGGCTTTTTCCTGAGAAAACGAAACGCAAAATCGTCATGTAAATGAAAACGGGTTGAAATGAGAAAAAAGAAGCAGAGATTACATAAAAGAAATCCCAGAATATTTCAGAAAAAAAAAAAAAAGAAACTCTGATAACATTGTGGTTATGATGAAATTAATTAAATGTGCTACAAAAAATAATGCTCGATGATTATTTACCTTTGGAATCCTTTTTCGAACTGGAAATAGCATTCGAACTGCTGCTGCTGCTGATTGACTTGATGTTATTGTGTGATGCTTTCGAATAGATGCTCGGCAAAATCTCCGTGTATAGTATTTTCTCCAAGTTCAGCTTTACAATGAATGCTGAATTTTTTTCCACAAAAAAAAAAAAAGACAAAAGATTACAATTATAGAGAGGGATATTCATTGAAAGAACATAAAGAACACAACAATGTAGCTATGAAACCCGAAAAGAAGAAAAAACTGACGTCAAAAAATGTCGTCATACGATGAAGTCATGCACATTTGTCGTATATCAATCCAAACAAGAAACAAAATAAAATAAGAAAAACAAAATGATAACTCACGAGAAGGAGGATAATCTCCAGAAGCTTCGAACCAGCGCTCGGCCTCCTCAATCTCGTAATCAAACTCGGGCCTCGTGAAATCGAAAAACTGAGAGGCTTCAAACTCGTACTCCTCATCGGTTTCAACAGACTCCACCTCATTTTCTTCTGGATTATTCTCCATCTAAGTTTTCCTCCACGAATTCACGTGCAGGCCAGCGCGTAGCTCATAATGGTTCGGTTATAGGACACCATTTTCGAAAAATAATACAGAGATTTTTGCCTTTTTTGGGCTCTGAATGATGCAGAGGAATGGAAGAAGGA